GGGAGGCTGAGGCAGAAGGATTGCTTGAGCCCAGGAGTTTGAGGTTGCTGTGAGCTAGGCTGACGCCATGGCACTCACTCTAGCACAGGCAACAGAGCGAGACTCTGTCTCAAAAGAAAAAAAAAAAATGTAAACCCCACCCTCAAGGCAAGGATTAAGCACTGATGCTTTATTTGGGAGGTAGAAATTCAGGATAGCCAGAGTGAGATAACTTGGTGGAAGGAAGTTAAGTAGAGAAGGATATGAAGTAATAGAGGTGATGTGTTTGTTACCTTGCTGGCCCCTCCTTGAAGATGAGCCCCACAACAGACATAACAGTTGTTCAGCGGATACATCCACTCAGTCTTGTTCTTCTCGAGACATACTGGAGAAACCATGCCTTGGAAGGAAGAAAAGGGAATTTATCTACTGTGCTTACTCGGTCTACTGTTTTCAGTTGACCAAAGTTACTCCATTAGCAGTGACCCCCTATACTTCCAACTTGCATCATCCAAGTACTCTCAGCAACCACTGAGAAGCCAGCTCCAGCATTGTTCAGAAGTGGCAGAAGCAGCCAGAGATTCCAGAAATGCAACTGGTCAGCCCCAGGCAGAGCAAGTGATTACAGGCACAGAAAGACAAGGCCAAGGAAATCCGAGGAGGCATATATAATATACCCATTACCCAATACGTAAGCACCTGAAGATAGAAATCAAAAAGAAGACTTCATTAAGTAATTCACCCTTCCCACCCTAGTGGTATACATAACTCCTCAAGGCCCCCTGGAGTTCAGCCTAAAGCTCTGAGCTAGGTCCCTGCCCCCCTTCTTTCCCAGGCCCATCTATACAGATTCCAATTCTGATTTACCCACCTGAAATCAATTCGACAGGTGGAGAATAAGGGAAAGGCTTTAATCATCATGTACAATTTCAGTAAGAACCATGGCAATTCTAAGTAGATTTAAAAGAAAAATTGCTTAACATATTAATTACATGGAGAGTTTTTCTAATTGGAAAATCTTTAAGTCATGCAAGAAAGAAAGAACAAAATAAGGAATGATCTGCACGCTAGAGACCTCAAGGCTTTACGCATGCCGGGCACAGTTCCGGTGTAAAAGTCCACACGGACAGTGTGAGGGCCTCCAGTGGGTGTCTCGGGCTCCTCCCAGGCAATCAGTTGAAGTGGCCATGCTATGGGTGGCAAGCAAGACTGGGGTTCCTCTCCTTTTCTGGTTCCTCCGTATTTCAAACCTTGGTTTTTAGCAGCTTCCGGGGACGGCCTGGGCTGCAGGAGGCGAAGTGCGCGTGTGTCTGTTCACCTCCGCAAGCGCTGGCCTCTCCTGGCTGGTTTAGGCGCGGCTGGATCCCGCTGCAGGTAGCATCTGCCTCTTCTTGGCGTAAATGTAGCTCCTTTGTAGCTTCAGCCTTTGGCTCTGGGGCATGTGGGTCTCGATAGCGTTTTTGCCCCCTCTCAACTCGGGGAACAGTTCCATGCCCGGTGTCAGCCCAGCGCAGCAGCCCTCCCGCATCATCGGCACTCACATTGCAGCAGAGCTGAGGGGATCGGCAGGAGCGGCGGCTCAGCGCCTCGAAGTTATCGAGCGCCCAGGCCCAGGCTTGCTCTCGGTTCAGGCCCGGCGGCATGTGGGGCTCCGGACCGGCCCGACCCCAAGACGGCTCTTCCAAGGTCGATGGACGGAACTCCATGGCTTCAGCCTCCTGAGGCTTGACCAGGCCAAGCCAAGTAGCTGGTCTAGGAAAGGGCCAATGACTCAATGGGTTACTGACTGTGAGTTTTTAAAGCATTCTGTTACGTACAGGAAGTGAGATACCAAAATCCAATTATGTGGGGATTAACACTCATTTTTCTTGCAAAGTGCTTCAGAGGCTGATAGGATTAAGGTGAAAATTGTATCATTCCGGGTCAGGCGGGTCAGGTGCAGAGGCTCACGCCCATAATCCTAACACGCTGGGAGGCCGAGGCGGGAGGATTGCTTAAGTTAGGGGTATGAGACCAACCTGAGCAAGGGCGAGACCCCGTCTCTAATAGAAAAAATTACCCGGGCATCGCATCGAGGCTAGTGCCGGCTATTCCAAGGCTGAGGCAGGAGGATCGGTTGAGCTTAGGAGTTTGAGGTTGCCGTCAGTTATGATGATTTCACTGCAAATTGTACCATTCTAGAAGGCACTATCAAAACTCTGGGTTTTGATGGAATCTGGCAGTTAGAAGGGTGGAGGGTGAGAGGAAGGGTCTAGTTGTTGACAGTTTGCATTCATGATGGAAAGTCTCTCCGTTTCAGACAAGCCTAGACAAATTACATTACTAGGCCTATTCTCTTCTCATACTTGGGAGGCATTGCCTTGCTTTAGCGATGAGAATCGGTGAGGTTGTATCATAGTCCAACACCACAAAGCTAGTTCATGCTAGAGCTGGACTGAGAACCTATGAACTCAAGCATACATATCAGGGACTTGAGTAAAAGAGTGATTAGGATGGATTGAGAAAAGGGGAGTCCCATGCCTACTTAAAATTGTATTTTTTTCTATTTTTGTCCAGATTACCTGCATCAAAAGAACATTCAAATTTGCTATGATTTTCATACCTACACGCCAGATGGGTTGAGTTAATGTCACATTTTCAAGAGCTTTTTTTGCAGGACCCCGATCTCTTTAAATGTAATTGTATGCATTCTATTATTAGTTATTCCCCTTTATCTGCTATCCCTACTCCCACTGCAGTTCTTCCCATTTTATCTTAATGGTATTTTTCTATCAATTAGTGTGGTGGTTAATTTTAGGTGTCAGCTTGACTAGATTAAGGATTACCCAGAGAACTGGTACAGGATTATTTCTGAGCGTGTCTGTGAGGGAGTTTCCAGAGAAGATTGGCATGTGAGTCTGGACTAAGTGGGGAAGCCGCCGTCAATGTGGGCGGGCATCATCCAATTAGCTGGGGGCCCAGATAGAACAAAAAGGCAATTTCCTCTCTCTCCTGGATCTGGGATACATTCTTCTTCTCCTGTTCTTCGACATCAGAACTCCAGGCTCTTGGGTATTTGGACTCCAGCACTTATACCAGCCAGCAGCCCTTGGGTTCTCAGGTTTTGGACCTCAGACTGAGAGTCACACCGTTGCCTTCCCTGCCTCTGAGGCCTTCAGACTTGGACTGAGCTGTGCTACAGGCACCCCAGGGTCTCTAACCTGTAGGCAGCCTGTGGTGGGATTTCTCAACCACCATAATCACATAAGCCAATTCCTCTAATAAATCCCCTCTCATATATCTATATCTATATTCTATTGGTTCTGTCTCTCTGGAGAACTCTAATACAGTCTTATAGTATGTAATTTATTATTTGCGTGCATATATTTTCAATTCATGTAAAAAATATCAGGTTATATATCTTGTTTTATTCAGCATTTCCACTTATCTGACACCACCTTTCTGAGATCAACCTTCTTGGAGATGCTTTTCTAAGAACTTTGGAAAGCAACCTAAGGAGCTTAGTTACAAATCAATAGAAACAAAAAGGTAGTTTTAAGAGTACTGAGTGAAGAATTACAAAAATTACTGTTTGGGTCTTTAATTTGTTTCGAGGTTTCCCTTTTTCTGCCCAGGGACCAAGTTTGCAACCCCAAAGGATTTCTGCAGACTCTAGGAACAGAAATGTCAAGGAAAGGTCGGTGTGAACACTGATATCAGGCAAAAAAAAAAACCCAAAAAACAAACAAAATCCAGGAAAGGTCGGGCCCCACCCACCCTGAACCAGGAAGTGAGGCAAGGCTGGGGCGGGGACGGGGCCCTCTGCCAGGCTGAGAGGGCGGGACACGGCGGGGCGGAGCGCGCAGATCCCGGAAGTCCCGCCTGGCCGAACGTCGGACAGCTCCACCGGCGAGCGGGTCTCTGGATGGGAAGTGCAGTTTTGGCGGGCGGTTGTGACGTCACTAGCTCATGTCTGGTTGCTACGGTACCACCACAGCGAAGAGGCTTTTTGGCTGACTGCAGAGACCTGGCGCCAAGTCCCGGGAAGCGGTGCAAGGCGCCCGAAAACTGGAACGTGGGGGCTCGCGCGCTGCCCTCACAGCAACGGTGAAACGGAGGTCCTGCTGCAGCCTTATCCCGGGCGGGAGCAGCAATCTTCCGGGAACGGTGGCCCGGGACTGGGGAGAGCATCCTCACCTGGTGAGAGGGAGCAGAGGAGCTTGGCGCGCACCACGCAGCGTCCGGGAGCTGGAGCCCGCGTCCGCCCTGCCGCAGCCGTGGTGCTAGTGCCTCTGAGCAGCCAAGCTCTCCCCACGAAAACGTTCACTTATTTTCTTGCCTGACGTCGTCTTAAAAATGGACAAATACACCGCCTTCCAGGATAATACTGTTTGCTTGACTCTCGGAGTTCCTTTTTGCTTCTAGACGCGTTTGATGCTCCTGTTCTTTGAATTCTGATACGCTGCTGGGCATAGCATTGAAACGCAAAACTGCTAATTTGCCTTCCCTGCAGTTGGCCGAAAATTGTTTTTCTTTCAGGTGTAGATGTTGAATAGGCCTTATTAGCATGTTAAAATGGCTGTGCGCAAAGACGCCATCCCTTCCCTGTCGGAATGCCAGTGCCAAATCTGCACGGAAATCCTTATCGAGCCCGTAACCCTCCCTTGCAACCACACGCTGTGTAATCCGTGCTTCCAGTCGACTGTCGAGAAGGCAAGTTTATGCTGTCCCTTTTGTCGCCGCCGGGTATCTTCGTGGACTCGGTACCATACCCGAAGAAATTCTCTTATCAATATGGACCTGTGGAAGACAATTCAAAAACACTATCCAAAGGAATGTAAGCTTAGAGGCTCTGGGCAAGCATCAGAGGAAATGGGTGAGTTAAAACCTTGCGCGTTTATTGGGTAAACACCCAAAATACTTTACAAAGTGAATCGTCACTTCTCCATTTAAAAAAGGGAAAACAAAACAAAAAAACACCCAACTAGTATTTGTCTAAATTGTTTTCGTAGGTTTTGGGTTTTATGGACCCCAAATAGCGATTAAAGTCAAGGGCAAAATTTGTCCTCTGTTATAGTGCTTGGGCAGTGTTCGGTAGGTTTTTGTTGGATTAAAAATGGAAGAAGAAAAAAAATAGCCCTTTGGGAGCTTTCAGTCGTATGAAAAGCTGTATAAATATTCATAGTGAGCATTCGTAACGTATAGCAGCAACGGAAGGAAACTGGTTCCGATGTTAATATTTCTTTTACTTAAAATTATTTCCTTTGATTTACTTATATATGTCTCCATTCATTTAATTATTTATTCTCATCTTTTAAGGTTATAAAGAGCCTAAAATAGCTTTCCATTACAATTTCATCTAGTTCAGTCATTTTTATTTAAAGCCCTACACCTTGTGCGCCCAAGAGCCCCAAACTGAACTCGTGACTCTAGTGGCTTGCTTCTGCTAGTGTGAGCAATAAGCCACGCAGTATTTTCTGTCCAGGCTCTGAATGCGGTGCCTGGGCTATAGTGCACCTGCTTTTTAAAAATTTGTTAATTTTTTTGAGGTAAAAAATATTTAACCAAATTTGCCATTTTAACCATTTTAAACCATAGTTATTTTTTTAAAAATAGCTTTATTGAGAGATTCACAGTGCCATACAATTCATCCATTAAAAATGTGCAATTTAACGGTTTTTAGTATATTATTAAATTTTTTTTTGTTTTTGAGACAAAGCCTTGATCTGTCACCCAGGCTGAAGTGCAGTGAGTGAGTGACTCGATCATAGCTCACTGTAACTTCTAACTCTTGGGCTCTTGGGCTCAAGCGACCCTCCTACCTCAGCCTCCTGAGTAGCTAGGAGTACAAGCACATGCCTCTATGCCTCACTAATTTTTAAATTTTTTTGTAGAGACAGGGTCTTGCTGTGTTGCCCAGGCTTTAACTATTAATTGTATGGTTCAGTGGCATTAGGCATGTTCACTTTGTTGTGTTTCCATCACCACCACCCATCTCCAGAACTTCTTGATCTCCCCAATCTGAATTTCCATACCTATTAAACTAACTCCCCATTTCTCCCTCCCCCTTCCTAGTCCCTGGCAACCACTATTCTATCTCCTGTCTGTGAATTTGACTACTCTAGGTACCACATATAAGTGGAATTATAATAGGTATTTGCCCTTTTGTGTCTGGCCCATTTCACTTAGCATAATGCCTTCAGGGTTCATCTGTATTGCAGCATGTGACAGGATTCCCTTTCTAAAGCAGAGTAATAGTCCATTGTATATATATACTACATTTAAAAAATCAGTTTGTCAATGAGCACTTGGACTGGTTACATCTCTTAGTTATTATGAATAATGCTGGTGTGAACATGGGTGTACAAATATCTGCTCAGGGCCCTGCTTTAATTTCTTTTGGGTATATACCCAGAGGCGGAATGTGTAGATCATATGATAATTCTATGTTTAATTTTTCTGAGGAACCGCCATACTGTTTTCCACAGTGACTGTACCATTTTACATTTCCACAGTGCACAAGTGGTCCAATTTCTCCACCCCTTGCCAACACTTGTTATTTTCTGGGTTTTTGATAGTAGTCATCCTAATGGGTATGAGGTCCCATTGTAGTTTTGATTTGCATTTCCCTAATGACTAATGCTGTCAAGTATCTTTTCATGTGTTCATTGACTTTATATCATCTTGGAAGAAATATCTATTAAAATCCTTTGCCCATTTTTTTAATCAGGTTTTTTTGTTTGAGTTGTAAGAGCTCTTTGTATACATTCTGGATATTAATCCCTTATCAGATATGATTTGCAAATATCTTCTTCCATCCCACAGGTTGCCTTTTCAATTTGTTGATTATGTCCTTTGATGCACAGAAGTTTTTAAGTTTGATATAGTCCCATTTGTCTATTTTTGCTTTTGTTGCCTGTGCTTTTGGTGTCATATCCATGAAACCATTGCCAAATCTAATGTCATGAGGCTTTCCCCCTGTGTTTTCTTCTAGGATTTTTATAGTTTTAAGTCTTACATTTACGTCTTTAACTCATTGTGTGTTGATTTTTGTATATGCTGTAAGGTAAGGGTCCAACATCATTTTTTTGCATGTGGACATCCAGTTTTCTCAACACAATTTGTTAAGACAGTGATTTTAAAGTCTTTGTCTAGAAAGTCTGATGTCTGGACTTAGGATGGTTTCTGTTAATTCTGTTTTTTTGAATTGCCCACATAGTTTCCTGTTTCTTTGTATGCCTTGTGTATTTTTGGAGAAAACTGGATATTTGAATATTATAATGTAATTCTAGAAATAATATTCTCTCCTTTTGCTGGTATTTATTGAACACTATAATAGTCCCATTTATAGTTATAGCTGAAATAATTCCCAAACTATTTTTTGCAAAGACTATCTTCCTTGTGTATGGTCACAGAAGTCTCTGTGCCTTAGCTTATGTTTAGCTAGTGTTTTGACAGAACTTTCCTTGAGTGCTAGGAGTTGAAAAACGAACAAAAATAACGCACAGGCACTTCTCTCAGTCTTGGTAGGTTGTCTCAGTGCTGAGCCTTTCCTTCAACACTTAGCCTAGGGATCAGCCTAATGGGTACATTTGAATGTCCTGATTTCCCAAAGAAACTCAGCAGCTTTTGCTTCTGGGCCTTAGGCAGTCTATTGTGTCTGTAGATTATAGTTTTTTCCCCAGGCTTCTGTGGGTTGTTAGTTTGGCTTGTGGTGTACCCCACCCCACCCCCGCCCCCAAGCAATTTCTGCTGCTTTTTCTGACCTGAATTCTGAATTAGGTAAAACAGACAAGTGCTTTGTGTCAGTCCTTCAGGTAGCCCAGACAGATTAGAACAGACATACAATGATTTGTAAATAAGTTCTGCTCTGCTTCCTCCAGAATCGGGGACCAGTGTCCCACTCTGTGAATGTGGGTTCCCTTCGATAAGACTGCCACCATGCTGGGAGGAGATGGAGCAAGAGTAAGGGAAAACTCCACAAAACCTTCCTGCTATTTTGAAGTTGCCCTTTTTTTGGTTCACTGTTTTCCAGGTTGCCATAAACTTTTAACTGTTTTTCAGAGTTCTGACAATGTTAATGCTGATAGTTTCTATTTGTTTTTAAATGTTTCTGTGGAGCAGTAAGAGCTTGTAGCTTCCTACTTGGCCATTTTGCTGACTCACTCCACCAGCCTCCTCTTAAGTGCTTACAACGAAAATTGCCATTGTTTTATTTCTTTTTTCTTTGTTTCTTTTTTTAGAGACAGTTCTGGCTCTGTAGCCTTGAACTCCTGGGCTTAAGTGATCCTCCTACCCCAGTCTCCCAAGTAGCTAGGACTACAGACATACACCACCATGCCTGGCTACTTAAATTTTTTATAGAGACAGGGTTTTGCTGTGTTGTCCAGGCTGTTTTCAAACTCCTGGCAACAAGCAATCCTCCCACCTGGGCCTCCCAGAGCACTAGGATTACAGGCATGGGTGGCATGGGCTCACCTACCCAGCAGTAAATTGCCATTGTTTTCAAGAGTGCGCTCAGGTTTGAACTTCCCCACACCCTGTTCTAAATAAAGTCAAGTTCTTTGTGGGAGATCCATTGGAGCTTTCAGTTATTGGGATTTACCTTTAATCTCTGAACCATTTCTCTGGAGCTGGTGGTGGTTACAATGGCTTATTTCTTTTCTTTTTACAAACAGGGCACTAGGTTTGTCTCTCCTAGAATTTTGCCTTCACCCTGTGAGCAAGCTGGAACAAGAGGGATTGAGGCCTTAGTATTCTCTACCTGCAGTGCCTATGGTAAAGCCTCCACTCACCTGGAATTTAGCCTCTGTACCTCTGAGCTGGAGAGTGTGAGAAATCCTGGCAGTCTGCTTCTGGGGGCTGGTAGGGCGGGAGAGGTGGATGCTATAACCCAGGACTGTGTGTACACAACCGGGAGTCCTTCTTGGCCACACCCATCTGGAGTGGAGTTTCAGGCATGCTGAGCTGGGGGTGAAGGAAGGGAGCAGGTTGTGACTCAGATGTCACAGACTCACTTTTCCTGCTGAGATTTATTAGATTGTTAGATTCTATTATTATTATTAGATTTTTTGGAAATATTTCTTCATTTGCTGTATGCTCTTAGGACAATTTCTTCTTTTTTTTTAGCCAGTGAAATTTAGCAGTGGGGAGTTGAATACCAACTTTAGTGACACTAATGTTAATAAGTTCTGATAACCACTGCCATCAGACCAGCCTCTTAGGACAATTTCTAAGGACTTTATGTGATTGGTTTTTTATAACTTTCTCCAGTTATTGTTGTTTCATTGGAGAATAGGTCTGTGGATCTCTTCACTCCACTGTTCTAAAAGTTGATCCTACTCACTTTGTTTTTCATGTAAATGTTATTGAGGTGTAACACACATACAAAAGTGAACACACTGCTGGTTGTGGTGGTTCACACCTGTAATCCCAGGGAAGCTGAAGTGGGAGGATCACATGAGGCCAGGAGTTAGAAACAAGCCTGGGCAACATAGCAACCCCATCTCTGGAAAAAAAAAAAAAAAAGAGTTTAGCCAGGTGTAGTGGTGGTGCACACCTGTAGTCCCAGCTGCTACTCAGGAGGCTGAGGTGGGAGGATTCCTTGAGTCCAGGAGTTTAAGGCTGCAGTGAGCTATGATCATGCCACTGCGGTGCACCTTGGACAACAGAGTGGGACCCTGTCTCTTCCAGGCACGGTGGGACACACTTGTAATCCCAGCACTTTGGGAGGCTGAAGTGGCAGGATCACTTGAGCCCAACCTGGACAACAAAGCAAGACCCCATCTCTACAAAAAAAAAAGGAATTACAAAGGTGAATCCATCTATGTAACTGGCATTGTGGTCAAGCCCTAGAACTTTCCCAGAACGCCCAAA